TCTTGAAGTAGGTATTGATGATCTTCTAGATTTCTGCAGGATCTGTTGTGGTTTCACCCTTTTCATTGCTAATTGCAAGGATTTGAGTCCATCTTTTCTTTCTTTCTTTTGGTAAGGTTAGCTGAGGGTTTATCAATTTTATTTAGTCTTTCAAAGAACTGACTCTTTGATTCATTGATTCTTTGTAGTTTCCTCAGTCCCCATTGCATTAATTTCTGCTCTATTTTTTTTTTTTTTACCTTATGTTCAGATTTTTTTTTCTTTTTTTCATCCCACCCACCCCCAAGCCCCTCTGCTCCAGTCATTATAATTTCCTCCCTCCTACAAGCTTTGGACTTGACTTGCTCATTTTTTGTTTTTAGAAACTTGAACATTAGGTGATTTGAGCTTGCTTTGTTTTTCTGATATAATTCACTGCTATAAATTTCCCTTGTAGGACTGCTTTGTGTCCCATAAGTTCTGGTATGTTGTATTGGCATTATTGTTTAATTGGAGAAACTGTCTAATTTCTTCTTTAATTTGTGACCTCTTGGTTTTTCAGGAGGATGTTATTTAATTTCCATGTGTTTATGCAGTTTTTGTGGTTTCTTTTGCCATTGATTTCCAATTTCATCGCACTATGGTCTGATAATATGCATGGGATAATTTCAATTGCTTTGTATTTACTTAAGCATGTTCTATGAACTAGTATGTAGTCTATTTTAAGGGGCTGGGGATTTAGCTCAGTGGATCTGTCACCTGTGTTGGAAGCACAAGGTCCCAAGTTCGATCCCTGGTTACCAAAAAACAACAACAACAACAACAACAACAAAAACAAAGAAAGTATGTAGTCTATTTTGGAGAACATTCTGTGTGCAGCTGATAAAAATACGTATTCTGATGTTGTGGTATGGAACACTCTGTAGACATCTACTAAGTCCATTTGCTCAAAAGTTTGGTTCAGTTCTGATGTTTGATTTTTTTTATCTAGTTGATCAGTCTATTTGTGACAGTGGGCTGAGGTCCCCATTACAATTGTATTAGTGTTGGGCAGGGGATATAGCTCAGTGGTGCTGTTCCTGCCTGGCAAGCACAAGGTCTGAGTTTGATTCCCAGGACCAGGAAAAATAAAATACAATTGTATTAGTGTTTATTTTTTAAGTTCACTAATATGTTTTATATAGCTTGGTGCACTCCTATTTGGTGCATATATATTTGAGTTATCACTTCCTTTTGGAATGTTCCCTTTACAAAGATGTACTGACATTCTTTGTCTCTCTTAATCAGTCTTGGCCTGAAATCCACTTTGTCCACAAATAGAATAGCTATCTCTGTTTTTTTTCCAGATTCCTGTCACATGGAGCATTGTTTTCTATCCTTTGACTTTCAGTGTATTAATTTCTTTTTGAATTAAATGTATTTCTTGTATGTAGCATGTTGTTGGATCTTGTTTCTTATTCATTCTGCCAGTCTGTTTCTTTTGATTGGTGAATTGAGGCCAATGATGGTTATAACTTATATGTATTGATTTATCCTTGTCAGGTTATCTTTGTGTTGTTGGTTCCCTTTTTATTCCCCGTTTAACTATTTGTCTTGCCTGGAGAATTCATTCTGTTGGGGTTCATAGAATTGTGATGCTCATTATCTATTTCTAGAATGTCCTTCAAAACACTTGGAGTGCTGGTTTGGTGTTCATGAATTTCTTCAGGTGTTGTCATGGAATCATTTAATTCTCCATCAATTTTTGAAAGGTAGTTTTGCAGGGTACATTATTCTGTGTTGGGGGTTTTCTTTTAGGGCTTGAAATACTTCACGCCAAGCTCTCCTTGACTTAAGGGTTTGTGTTTTTTCATTGACTCTGGTCAATCTTATGTTATTCTTTGAATCATCTAGCAGCTATTGGATTGATTTTTCATAGTCCTTTGCTATTTTTAAGAAATCTTTCATGACTGCAATCCTGTCTTCTAGATCTGATATTCTGTCCTCACATTGGCTCATTCTGCTTTCAATAGAATTTTTAATCTCTTGGATAGATCATCTTCCTAAGCTCCTCTATTTTTTTATCTGTATCTATCAATTCACTAATCTTGTCCTTCATTATGGTCAACATCTCTGAAGTTATCTGAGAAATTTCTGATTTGATTTTTTCTAGAGCCTCATTCATCTTCTTTGTTACTTCTGCTGTTACCATTTCAGAAAATCCAGTTGGGTAGCTTTCAAATTGTTCCACCGCATTGTACCCTGAGTTTGCCTTTGGTGAGCTGAAAGTCTGGGGTTGCATCTTGCTTTTGTATCTTTTTTTCTTTTTTTATTCCTGTGTTGATGCTTGTAAATTGTTTGTGGTGAGCATCTTTATTGCTAGTATTGAGAACCCTTAGGAAATGACTACTCAGAAATGTCTTCCACCAGGTGTAGCTGGGTTTTGAGTCTGTCACTAGATCCTACTTCTTCAATTTATTGGGGATGAGAAGTTGCTGCCTATTTGCCGTAGCCCCTGATTTTTTGGCACTGGGCTATAGCATTGTTTATGACCCTCAGGAAATCTCAGTCTTGGCATACAAGGAAGAACAACTGATTAGAACAATTATGTCACCTTGTCTAAAATAGTACAATCAGTAATAACAACAGCATCAAACAGCCTAGGAAATGAGAAACTGTGGTAACTATTAATTTGCCACCTTTAACCAGATGAACAAGATTTGTAGTTATATAAGAAAACCTAAAATAAACCACAAAATTGTATATACTAAATATCCCCTCAATATGGCAGTTCTACTCTCAGGGGTTGGGAAAAAATAGAGATATAGAAGAAAAGAAAGATTAGAAGCAAGGCTGGAGGACAAAGGAAGATTTGGGAACTGGTGAAGAAGACAGGAGTGAAAGAGAGAAGGAAGAAACACAAACAAGAACAGAACAAAAAACCCCAACAAAACTAGAAACAATGTTCACACTTGTATAAAAATGAACAAGAAAAAGAAAAAAATTAAAAAATAAAAAAGCAAAGAAAGAAAAAAAAATCACTTCAGGCCTATCTCTGCTGTCACTGGTAGACAGAGGGGGCAGCCAGAGCCCAGATCTGTGTTGATTGATCCCAGTAAGCCAGTAGTAGAATTGTGGTGGGAGATAATCTCAGCAAACCTAGGCCTTAGTCCCACTGATGTTCAGACTGCTTCTGGTTTCTAGCTGTGAGCCTGAGACCCAAGTTGTACAGCTGGAAACACTCCAGGTACCTAGGGGGGGGGGGGGGGGGGCTTGAATTCAGCTCCCTGCTGACTTGGCTCCCTAACCCCCTGCCAGCTTAAACTTTGCTGTGCCACACCTTGACACTGACAGCCACTAGATAGAGGCAACCCACAGCTGCTGCTCTGAGTTTTGAGCTCAGTTGGCCCCTCTCCAAGATGGCTATCGGCTAATCACCCTCTCCTGGGGGCTGTCTGAACCAGAATAACTCACCAGCCACTGCAGTCCAGTGTCCACTGTTCTATTGCACTGGTGCATTTCACCATGGAGGCCTCTGTGGTCACCCATAGTCACTGTCATCTGCAGATTCAAGCTGCCCCTCCCACACCATGAGGTGGGGCTCAGGGAGAAAGTGCTGCTTGCCACCTTTCTGAGTTGTGGTCCCTCTCTTCACTCTTCCTGTGGGCTCCACAATTCTTGTTTCGGATCCTTGTTAGGTTCCAGGAACCCACTTCCCTCCTCCTCTTCCTCATGTTGCTATATTCCACTGTCTGGATTCCAAATCTCAGAGAGGCAATTTCTCTGTTGCTCACCATTCCACCATCTTCCCAGAAGTAAATGTCATTCTTCTTTATTTTTTTGGTACCAGGGATTGAATTCAGGGCCTTGCACTTGAGCGGCAGGTGGTAGCACTATTGAGCTAAATCCCCAGCCCAAATATATCACTCAAGAAGGACTGAGATTGTGTGACACAGTAGATCCTTAGTAACTATGGTATTGTAAATATATTATAAGACAGAAAAGTCATTATTCCCTTAGCATGCAAAAGGTCTACCCGGATCAACAACAGTCCACTCAAGGGCCAAGGATTTAGCTCAGTGGCACACTGCCTGCCTGGCAAGAGCAAGGTCCTGATTTCAATCCCTAGTATCAAAAAAACAAAAAAAACAAACAAAAACAATGGCCCACTCAAGCTGTCATTTCTTTGCTTCCATGCAGAAAACTCATGTCTATTTCCATTTACTTTTCAGTCAGGCTGTTACACCTACTACTTTACCAAAACTACTTTTCAGGATAACCAATGATTTTTACATACTAATTTTATTTATTACATTGTTCAGGGTTAAACCCAGGACCTTGAGCCTGCTAGGTTCACATTACTAACTTATTTGTTTACAAGGTGGGTAAAAACTATAATAAGCCAATAAGATTACAAGTATAGTCATTTGGCCCAATACTAATAAGGGTATATGGATGACATTATTAGCCTTGGTCGATAATCTGGGGTCTTAGTCTTTTCTCTTCTCATTCTTCTCTACTTCCTCCTCCTTTCACATTACTAACTTTAATGGGTATCTCCAGTCTTCACTTTGCCCGACCCAGCAACAATCCTAATGGAACTGCTCATATCCTGTTCCTTGAGATGGTTCATCCTTGGCTCCTAGGAAGTAACACCCCCCGCTCTGCTTCTCCTCCTATCTCACTAGGCAGTCCTGCTTGGTCTCTTTTGCTGCTTCCTTTTCATGGCCTTAATGCTGAAGTGTGCTGAGCTCAGCCCTCAGATCTCTTCTCTTTTCATATCTTAGGAATTTCATCTAGTCTCATGGCACTACATACCAATGACAACTTTCAATTTTCAAATTTATTTAATTTTGGGGGTCTTTTTTTTTGGGAGACAGGGTGTTGCTATGTAGTTCAGGCTGGCCTTGAACTTACTATGTACCCCAACCTGACACTGAACTCATGGCAATCCTGCCTCAGCCTCCCAAATGCTGAGATTACAAGTGTACGCCACCAGGACCAGCTCAACTTTCAAATTATATATGGAGCTTGGACCTCTCTTCTGCCTCCAAATTTATTTATCAAATTGTTATCTTCAGTTAAATATTTAAGAAGCATCTCTCTCTTTTTTTTTTTTTTTGGTACTGGGGATCGAACTCAGGACCTTGTTCTTTCGAGGCAGGCAGCAGAACCACTGAGCTAAATCCCCGGCCCAAGAAGCATCTCAAACTCAACATACCTCCAACACATTCATAACTTGCCCTAACACTAACCTCCCATTTTGAATAAACTTTCCCATCTCAGTAAATGGCAATGGTGTCTTTTTTGGTCCTGAGGACAAAAATTTAGGATTATCCTTGACTTATGTTTCTCTTGGACTGCATCTCTATCAGTGAGCAAATTCTGTTGCCTTTACCTTCCAAACACATTTAAAAAATCTGAATGCTTCTTATCTCCACTGCTACTACTCTCTCCAAGATGCCATCCATTTCTTGCCTATATTTTTTTTTTTCGGTACTGGGGATCAAACTCAGGACCTTGTGCATGCCCAGGCAGGCGCAGGCACCACTGAGCTACATTCCTGGTCCTCTTGCCTGTATTCTTGAAATGTCCTTTAAATGTCCAGCATCCTTGTCTTCCTGCTTTCACATTTGCTACCTACAGTTTTTTCTCACCTCAGCGCAACAGCCAGAGTGATGTAGATATAAGGTACAAGAGTTCTTTTTCTTTTTTTGGTACCAGGGATCAAACTCGGGACCTTGCGCTTGAGAGGCAGGCGGCAGAACCACTGAGGTAAATCCCCAGCCCTTTAAGTTTCTTGAGACAGGGTCTTGCCATGTAGTCCAGGCTGCCCCCAAACTTGCACCAATCCTCCTGCCTCTGCCTCCCAAGTGCTGGGATTACAGGCATGCACCACTACACTTGGCAACTGCTTGTTCTGCCCCACTCACAATAGATCCCTTGTTATTTGCAAACATATCAGGCAGCTTTCCACCTCAGGATATTTGCGCCTACTGGTTTTTTTTTTGTTTTTTTTTTTTAGAGTAGGAAAATTTATTGGGGAATAAAAATGTTGAGTAGAAATAGGGAATAAGAATGGGGAATAAGGATAGCTCCTGAGAGACAGGAGGGGTCCTGAATGGTGCCCCGCACCTACTTTTTTAATTGAGTCAAGACCATTTAAGTATAACACACACAAATGTGGTGCACTGTAAGAACTCATTAAAAAAAAAAAGACAATCATGATGTTCCTTCTCCAAATATATGTTGTCTCAGGTAGTCCATACGAGCATCCTTGGTTGACAGTGCCATAGAGTTCCACTCAAAGTGAGGAATCTGTAAGGTAAACAAGGTAGTTGCAGTGAAAGTTTCAAAGCAGCGAATAAAAACATCAGGGAAGACTTAGCAACAGCACTGCGTGAAGCTGTGGGAGCCCCGTGAAATTCATTTACATAAGCATGGCCTGGACCCCGCCGGGAAGCTGAGTGGCTCTTTCATCCTCACACGGCCCAACAGACTTTTCCTAATGCGTACTCCTCTCGCCCCCTGGTTCCTATAGTAGCAGCCATGGACACCCTTGCTGCACTCAAACATTATCAGCCGTTTCCTCCTAACTCTGTACTTCTCCACAGTACCTTACTCCACATGCAAATCAGCAGATCCTCTAAAGACAATAAAAGAAGTAATTTTTATTTCTTATTCTACTAGAAATATGTTCTATGTCAGAGACACCCTAATATACCTTTTTTTAATATAAGAAAGTAATTCTAGAATTTTCATGTGAAAAGGAAACGCCTGTATAGCCAACGTCTCTGTGCTAGCTAGCTATTCATTCATTCATTCATTTTTTGAGACAAAGTCTTGTTATACAGTTAAGACTAGCCTTGAAATCACTATGTAACCCAAGCTGGCCTTAAACTTTCAGTGATCCTCCTGGCTCACCCTCCGGAATGCTGAGATTATAAGCATGCACCACCACACCTGGCCTCTGTGTTGTCTAGAGGCTGAATTACATAAGTGTTTCATACCTGGATTACACGATAACCCAAAATTTCTAAATGTCGTTTTTTCATAGCAGATTTCCCTTTTAAGTGAGGTATATTTCTACAAAAAGCTTTTGAGTCCAAAAATTCGAATGCAATCCTAGATAAGAAAAAAATAAATACTGTATTTCCAAAATTAAAGTGAGAAATTCAATAACTATAAGCCTTTCAGTAACATGAATGCATAAGCTAATATATGAGCTAATGAATACGAGTACACCATGTTATCTTTCTACTTGAGAAATTAGTAACTGATAACAATTAAACCTATTCGTTTAAACTAAATTACAGTAAAAATAGCTCCCTTTCATCTATTTGTTTCTTTTTCCCATGTATACTTATTTTTTTCAATATATACTTATTACATGCCTACTGTCCATAAGGAGCTCACACATGAAGATAAAGCAGTGTGGCTTAGTCTAACAGAGCACACAGGTGGAACACAGCAGAGGAAGTGGATAAGTGTTCTGAGGACAGTGGAAGGGCATGGGAACACGAAAGGAGAAAACACCATTCACTTCTGGCCAATGCAACCAGGTGTCAGCACCTTGGTTAGAGACTGCCAGGCTTTGGCCAGGTGAAGTCAGACTATAAGGTGAAGGCACAAGGTGATAGTTCATGGGAAAACTGCATCAGTTACATGAGGAGCAGATGCTACTATAATTGGTACATTGTTTTTTCCTGGTACCAGTGATTGAACTCGGGACTTTGTGCTTGCAAGGCGGGAGTGGCATCACTGAGCTAAATCCCCAGCTGCTACTACAATTGATCATTGATAGGACAGGTCATAATATAATGCCAAATTTAATATTTAGATAAAATCTGAAAATAAGAAATACATTACCTTTCAGCTCCAGGTGGAAGACTTGATCCAACTATTTGGATGTTTGATTCCCAGAACATCCTTGCTGGTTTTCCCAAAGTTACATTATGGGTTCCATAAGGAAGAGGTTTTTTTCTCTTATTCAAGATACATTCAAACTCTTAAGGAAATATAGGAATCAACAGTATAATTAGATAACTTCTTACAGGCAAAAATATATTTTTAATATAGAAACATATGAATGTATACACACACATTAGCATGAAAGAACAACAAACCTCCCTAATTATCCAACTTGTTTTTAAGAACTGGTCCAAGGGCACCTCGCTTTGAAAATAATCAAAATCAATCAGCAATTATTAATAAACTGTAGCACAGGGCTGCATGTAGCACTAGGCTAGGCCAAGTCATATTAAAGAATTTTATCTCCTTAAGTCTCTTGGTCACCTTTGGCAGAAGCTAGAATACCATCCAAAAACAAGATTCAATTCTACTGTTTGTGGAGCTGCCATCCCAGCCCTGGACTCTGCATGTAGGGGAGAAAGAAATAAATGTGTAATTTAAGTACCTATCTCTGGATTTTTGTTACTCATAGCTAAAGCCAATTTTGACTAATATAAAAGCAAACAAAAGGAGAGGATGTGTCTTGTACAAAATGGAAGGACTAGTGATTGCATGGTTCACCCCCTGCCCTGCCCAGTGCAGAACTCACGCTCTCTCTCTTTCTCTCTCTCTCTCTCTCTCTCTCTCTATCTCTCGCGTGTGTGTGTTTGTGTGTGTATGTGTGTGTGTGGACACACCATCACTGATCATCCAGACTCTGCCCTATTGTTAATATTTCACAAAACAGCCCTTAATTCTTTTCATAATGCTTTAAAATCTGCTTCCATTATTTTTCTTTTGAGACAGGGTCTCTCTCATTAGGTAGTTCAGGCTGGCCTTGAACTTCTGGCAATCCTCCTGCCTCAGCTTTCCAAGTGCTGGGGTTACAGTTACTGGGATTAAGTGTTATCATTTTTTCATCCTTGAAACAGAAATACTATACCTAGTTCTTCTTCCACATACCAATCCTTCAAACATCTTTTCTTTCTTTCGTCTTGGATTTTTTTTATTATACTGTGGTGCTGGGGCAAACATTTTAAAAGTTATATTCCCCGTAAGACTTCTGTTTTTCAGACTAATCAACCTTAGATTTTTTTCCAAATAAAATGTATTGAGCACTTATTAGGCTTCATTGCTGAAAGCTTTACATTCAATGTCTCAATCCTACTAAATAGGCCTTCTTATCCTTATTTTACAGATAAAGAAACTAACAAGTGGCATATGCTTATAATCTCAGCTTCTCCGAGGCTGAGGCAAGAGTATCACATGATTGAGGCCACCTTGGGCAACTTGGTGAGATCCTGTCTCCAATAAAATTTAAAAAGGGCTGGGGATGTAGCTTAGAGGTACAGTACACTTGCCTAGCAGGCACAAAGCCCTTGGGTTTCATCCTCAATACCGCCAAAAACTAAAAATTAATAAAAAGAAGTTGTTCAAGGATGGAAATCCATGCTGTCCTAGTCCTCTCTAGTCTAAGAGTTGATTTCTAGCTCCTTTCCCATCTGCCCTTTGTTTCTGTACCCTGTTTGTCATCGTCTCTCATAAAGGGCATCACGCCAAAAGGACAAGAAATGTGAAGGACAGAACACAGTGGGGTTACCAACTTTGACTTTGTTATTAGTATAGTAAAAAATAGTATTTGATTTTGGCAACCATTACATTAAGTAGATATCTTCTAATCTAATTTTCAAACATTTATGCTAATGCTCTTAATTTTTTTTCTTTTTCATTTAATGTATCAGGTGAGAGACATGCACAGTATCTTTGGAAATCTTAGTCCAGGTTGGTCATTCAAGTTCATTTTAGAGATGGACTTAAAATAATAAACCATCAATATAAGAATTCATTTTCCTAAAAAAAAAAAAAAGAATTCATTTTCCTGACTTAGGGGGCTGAATAGAGAGGACAGATTCTCTGAAGATCCAGTGAGTCATACAGTTAGTTAATCTTATGGTTGTTTTCTGAAAAATAGCAAAATGCTGATGGTTATCCAAGCTGGGACATAAGAATTTGAGGATTAATTATATTCTTTCTATTTGTAAATTTTCATAACAACTTGAAAAATTTTTTAAGACTTACTTTTCTTAAATTCCAACTAATGACATGACTCTATTCAAATCAGTTTGGTCCTCAGGAAGTAGATAATTCCCTATCAGTGACTTACCTACTGCGTAGTAATAAGGCGAAAGAACAGAGGCTTTTACAAAATTGGGTCCTCCTAGTATCTCTGCTAGAAGTTTATAAATCTGCTGCTGTGCTCCATTCATGCTGCCAATATCTTTATGAAAATAAAAATAGTCCACTTAAGTTAATCAGAATTTAAATGACCATCCCAATTGTACAAACTGAAAAACAAAGACTATTTTCAATACTACAATAAGAACTTTAGTGTAATAACACTAAATTAAATACGAATTCTTGGTCTCAAACAAAAGGTCTAGTGTCCTAATTAAGAAATTCTTATAACAAAGCTCACCTGCAACATCTCACCTAAAACACAAATAGATGACGGCCTGCTTGGAAAATCTAATGCCATGCTTAGATTCAACAATAATAACAATGTTCTACCTAAAAATGTACTTTATAATTAAATTTCACTATCTCACAAGAAGAAAACTCAAACCTTTATTATACTGTTGTTGACAGAAGCGGTCATGAAACCATGGAATTTGAAACTCAGGGCACTCCAAGCAGACAGCTCTATTCAACTCCATAAGACGAAGCTGGACCCTGCTACTCAGAGACGAAGTTAAAACTGAAATGAAAGATAAAATACTTTTTTTTTTGGTACCGGGGATCGAACTCGAGTCCTTGTGCTTGTGCAGCAAGTGGTGAAACCCCTGAGCTAAATCCCAGGCCCTGAAAGATAAAATACTAATGGATTTTTAATAGTTCGGGCCTAGCAAAAAACAACTCATTTTTTCACATCATTTATCTCCACTATTAGGGATACATTTATTCTCATATAAAATCACTTCATTTGTACACAAATACTTTGTATTTTAAAATTATTACATTCAGTAGCATGATCAGGACCAATTTCTACACTGTCTTCATTAATTGTACATTTTAAAACTACTTTTATTTTGAGACAGGGTTTCGTTATGTAGTCCAGGCAGGCCTTGAATTCACTATATAGCATAGGCTGGCCTCTAACTCCCAGCAGTCCTCAGTGCTGGGATTATAGGCATGTGCCTCCATGCCTGGGTAGAACTACATTTCAAAATATACCACCAAGAATTTTCATTGACCTAATATTTTATATTTAGGAATTTATCCTGAGGTATAGTAAGATAGTGGTGTATGAATGATTTTCGCTTTCTTTTTTCTTGTTTCTATAATCCAGTGGTGTTACTTTTACTGTTTAAAAACATTTACATTCAAAGTTGCGAGATATGCAGAAAAGAGAGAAAAGGAAAGGAAAGCAAAGGAAAGCAAGGCAAGCACAGGAAAGCAAAGCAAACCAAAGCAAAGGAAGCAAGGCCCAGTGGTGTACTCCAGTAATCCCAGCACTCAGGAGGCTGAGGCAGGAAGATCACTGAGTTCAAGGCCAGCCTGGATCAGAGTGAGACTCTGTCTCAACACACACACACACACACACACACACACACACACACACACACACACACGAAGGAAGCAAGGAAGGGAGGGAGGGAGGGAGGGAGGAAGGAAGGAAGGAAAAAAAGAACTACTCTAAAACATTAAAAATAGTTTTAGGCTGAGAATGTAGCTTACTGGTAGAGCACTCACCTACCTACCATGTGTGAGGCCCTGGATTCAATCCCCAGTACCAATCAACCAATGTAGTAGTTTTACTTGGTAGTAAAATTATGAGTATTCTTTCTTTCTTTATGGTTTTTTGGGTCAGGGTCTCACCATGTAGTCCACAGCTGGCCTTCACCTCAATAAGTAGCCAGCGTATGTAGTCCCTTGAGCTTGCAATTCTCCTGCCTCAGTCTCCAAAGTGCTGTGATTAGAGACAGTTGCCCTAAACACTTGTCTTTCACTTTTCATATTTTTTCCAAATTTATTCCAATAATCATGACAAAATTTTTTTGGTGGTGCTGGGGATCAAACCCAGGGCCTCACACGTTAGGAAAGTGGCCTATCTCTGAGCAACCCCCTCAGCCATCATGAAATAATATTTTAAAAATTAATTTGATTGGTACATTTTTGGTATATAGTATGACCTTCATCATTGGGAATTTGTACCTTTACATGATGTATCTTGGTTCTTATTCTTTCCCCATTCCCCTGCCCTCCCTTCAACCCCTCCATCCCTCCCGATTTACAAAGACTTTGTTTCCAGTTTATCATTTTCTCATATTAATTCCATTCCCTTCTTTCCTTTCTCCTACCCCTCCCACTTCCCCTTCCCCTTTGCCCCTTTTACTATTTCACATTATCTATTACACCTTTTGATCCTTATTTACATTTTCAGTTTCTCACACTAAAGAAACTAATTGATATTTACACATGTGTGTCCTATTTATTTCACTTAAGAGTATGGCCTCAATGTGGATCCATTTAGCTATAAATGTCTCTAATTTCTCATTCTTTATGGCTGAGTAGTTCTCCATTTTATATTAAAAAAACACATTTTCTTTCTTTTTTTTTTTTGGTACTGGGGATCGAACTTGGGTTCTTGCGCTTGTGCAGCAGGCAGCGAAACCACTGAGCTAAATCCCCGGCCCAAAAACACATTTTCTTTATCCAGTCTCCAGTTGATGGGCAATTGGGCTGTTTCCAAGTTTTAGCTATTACAAGCTGCGCCGTTCACAAAATAATTTTATTAACAGAAATGTTACTAACACTTAAATATGAACTGGGCGTGGTGGCACATGGCTACACTCTTAGCACTCTGGGAGGCTGAGACAAGAGGATTACACGTTTGGGGACAGTCTGGGCAACCTAGGGACTTAGGGAGACCCTATCTCAAACTATAGAAAAACTAAAAAAAGGGCTGGCAACATAACTTAGTGTGAAGGCCTTGGATTTAATCTCCAGGACAAGGAGGAAGAAAAGCTTCAGCAGGGGTACAGCTGAAACTGGATATAAAATACAAGCGATAATTTAATTTATACATACTTTCAAGTTGAGAATCTAAACTGGCTAAGAACTGGATGTTAAAAATTGCCTTCAGCAGATCTTCTGGAAAATATTCAAGTGTGGCCAAAGAGAAACCAAGAAACACTAATGTATGAGGATCCAATGTACCTGAAAGAAAAGTAAGATTGAAATAAAGTTAGGATATACAACTGCCCCGCATATATCATTTATCCAGATAAAGTTTTTTTTTTTTTAAAGTAAAATTTTCACAAAATGCGAAACACTAACAAAACCAATCATCTTGCTTAAGAGTCAGGACGGGGTGAAGTGGTCACCTGTGGGTGTGGTAGAGTAAGAAAGGGGCACAAGAGAAGGGTTCCGTGGCAAAGTTCTGTTTCTTGATCCAGATACTGACTCCCCAAATGATTCAATTTGGGAAAATTCAAACTATTATTCTACACTTAAATGAATGTTACTGTTATTATTACACTTCAACTATAATTTTAAGCACTGCCTTGAAAAGAGAAAATTCAGCAAAGGGGAAGGGGAAGTGGGAGGGTAGGGGAAAGGAAAGAAGGGAATGGAATCAATATGAGAAAATGAAGAACTGGAAACAAAGTCTCTGTAAATAGGGAGGGCAGGGGAAGGGGGAAAAATAAGAACCAAGAGAGATTATGTAAAGGTGCAAATTTCCAATGATGAATGGCATTATATTGTATACCTAAAATGTACCAGTAAAGTA